AGTGCGGCCGAAGGCCGCCTACGCAGAAAGGTGTTCTCTGCAAAAGGTGTTCAGCCCCCCTTCTTTGGCAAAACAGAAAGGAGAATTCTACTGCCTGAGGGTTATAATCCCTAAGTGCGGCCGAAGGCCGCTTACGTAGAAAGTAATTCTACGCAAAAATACATTTGTTAAAAAGAACATTTTTTTTTATAAAAACTGTTTTTTTTTCTATTTTTAATTAACTTTTTATTCTTTATTCAAAATCCCCCCATATCTAATTTGGCATAATTTCTTTTATTAAAAAATCCCACGGTTTCTGTTAGTTGGGTCATATTCCACATCAAACTGCTCAGTTTGCCTAAGAAAAATCCGTTTTTCCCCCTTTTTCAAACGGTTCCCTAGGTGCCTGTGGGAGGAGTCCAAGGGGGGGGTTCCCCTTTTTAGAAAGCGGCGACTATCTCCTTTCTACTGGGGGGGGTTTTGGGGGCCCCGCCCCCCCACCCAAAAAACGGTGTGAGTGGTACTAAACATTTCCCCTTTTCTGCCATTTCGTACGTTATACTAAGGCCAACAACAACTGTGCCAAGTTTGGAAGAAATTGGTCCTGCGGTTACCAAGATATACACATGTAATTATAATATTCTTATTTTACGTTTAAAACTTATTGTAAATGTCAATTTTGAGTGAATAATCTTCAGTAGTTACTAAAATATCGAAGTTTTCGTATATCTGAAAATTACCGTTATATGGGAGGTAGGCGTGGTTATTATCCGATTTTGCCCATTTTCAATACCATCCGTTCTACGCCAGAAGAAGTGTACGTCCCTGCAAAAATCGTTGGACCATGTCCCTGCAAAAATCGTTGGACCATGTAGTCTATTTGTGGTATATTGGAGTACTTACAAAAGTGCTCCTCTGTCATGCTGTAGCGGACCAACTCGTGTCTCTGCACCAGCTTATTGTTACCCGATCACTGCTCGTGTTTTAACGAAATGTGATTGAAGTTAAGCATTTGAAAGTACATTTGCATGTCTGGCTGTAGCTAAACGTGTAGAGATGCTAGCTATTATTTCTTAGCTCCCAGCATGTTCGGGTTCGAATGTCGTCAGAGGTAACATGTAATTTTAAATTTTTGTTTTTGGTTTTTATTCATTTCAAAAAAAGCATCTGCGAAGTGAAGAACAAAAGCGTGTACAAACGAAAAAATATAACGATAATGTCATTGGAGTATGTTGGGAGTAGTTTTGTGCTACTCTGATGTAATGCAGAGATGGAGTACATGGTCCTGCCCTAGGACATCGCAATGTTTATTGGACCATATTTTTTTATATGAATTGTAGTTAATTTTGGAGTACTCCTTGGTCCTTCGGGAGTACTCTTTACATGCATGCATGGAGTAGTCGCGATTTTTGCAGGGGTACCAAGTTTCGTTAAGATATCTCAATTTTTACTCGAGTTATCGCGTGCACAGACGGACGGACGGACAGACAGTCACCGCTTAATAGATTTCTTTTTTCATTCTGATCATTTATGTCTACATTTGTCTATATCGATTCGTTTTGCCTGTTACAAACAACCGTTACGTGAACAAAGCTATAATACCCTTGTCCACAAGTGCGCTCGGGTATAAAAACGTTTCTCTTTCACTTATGTGCAGCATTTTGAAAAAATTTACATTTGCAATCCGGCGTTGCGATATTTCGTTCATACAATTTTGTTCGCAATGTTGTCATTTCACCACTTTGCTATGGTTCATGAATCGCACTAACGGCTACTTTATGAACGTAATGCCCAACATTGTCATTTAATGCCTAATGAAAATTCATCAGTAACCCTACTTAAGGAAATGCTTAAAATTTTTATTTCACAAATGAGAAATAATTGTATGATTTACTTCGAAGTTAACGACTAGTTTAAAAAGTGAACAATACAGTGGAGCTTACGTATCCCTGCAAAAATCGTTGGACCATGTAGTCCATTTGTGGTAAATTGGAGTACTTACAAAAGTGTTCCTCTGTCATGCTGTATCGGACCAACTCGTGTCTCTGCGCCAGCTTATTGTTTGTTATCCGATCACTGCTCGTGTTTTAACGAAATGTCATTGAAGTTGATCATTTGAAAGCACATTTGCATGTCTGGCTGTAGCTGAACGTGTAGAGATGCTCGCTGTTAGTTCTTAGCTCCCAGCATGTTCGGGTTCGAATGCCATCAGAGGCAACATGTAATTTTTAATTTTTGGCTTGGTTTTTATTAATTTCGAAAAAGCATTTGAGAAGTGAAGAACAAAAGCGTGTACAAACGAAAAAATATAACAACAATGCTGTTTGCTTTTTGGAGTAGCAAAAGGGAGCGCAGGGTGCGCCAGAGATTCTATTTCCGTTGAAATGAAAAGACGAGGAATTTCAATATTACAATTGCTTCGCAAATTATTTTATTGACTTCAATAATTCAGTTTGGTATTAAAAGAGCTAGGTCATTAAAGGTATGACAAAATTTTTCCCGAGGGGCGTTATATGCAAAAAAAGGAAGAGAGGTGCGATGCGGCTGCGACGGCGCGTAAAAAGATACTGATACTAGCAATTTAATTGCGGGTACGAATCACCCCGTGGCCCCGCTTACAATTACAACAAGAACGCTATTTCACCTGACTAATTCACAATGGTGTACAGTAAAATGGCGTTGCCAGCCGCACGCGGATTATGAAACAATAAGCATTAATTGTACAATTCAAACGTTATTAATCGAATTCGATTAAATTTGGACTCATGTCCGCAACATGCCGGCCCGCCTGCGCCGGTGCCAGGTTGAGCAACTCTTGCAACTTCTCGAGGGTCAGCACCGCCCGGTTGAATAAATCGCGGATGCGCCGTTGGACCGCAGTATTTCCGCTTTGAGCTTGCTTTGCGGCTGGTTTGACCACACGGCTGGCTAGCGTCGATCGTTCACGGCGAACTTGTGCGTGCGAGTTAGGACGGCGAGTGCTTTCCGGTGGTGATGATGGTGGACGATGCAGCATTGTGTGGTGCGCCTTCCCACACCGGTGACAGCTGTCGGCTGAGCTGCAGGAGCCGGTTGAATGCGACGTCGCCAAGCAATTGACGCAGTACTTGTGTATACGCGCAGACTCGTACCGCTCATCAGGCGTCATTGCTTGAAATGCGCGGCAAAACCGCAACGGATGATGGCGGCAGCAGAGGCGGCACTGGCTGAGCTCCATCGTATTCTTGGACATCTGTGGAAAGAAGAAAACATCGAAGACGGAATTAGTTCCATGCTATGGTGGAGTCAGCTAGAGGGAGGTGTAGGTGTGAAGTATGTAAAGATAGTTACTACAGAGGGGGCAGTAAACACAACTTTGCAATATTTCGAGTGATTGTTCCGGATTGAGTGTAAACATCAGCTACGCGAACATGGTGATCATGACCGGGGTGAAGTTTCACAACGCGCCCGAGTCTCCACTCGTTTGGGGGTAGAAGGTCGTCTTTGACGACCACGAGGTCTCCCTCCTTAAGGTTGGGTTCTTGTCGCTTCCACTTGTGCCTTTTATGGAGTTCCTTAAGATATTCATTTTTCCAGCGCGTGCTAAATTGCTGATGGATAACCTTCAATTTTTGCCATTTGTTTACTAAAGACAGATTGTCAGAGTGGGGTTCAGGCCTAGAGAGGAGCGGGGCACCACGCAAAAAGTGTCCTGGCGTTAAAGCCAGCAGATCCGTAGGATCCTGGGACATAGGGGAAAGCGGCCTGGAATTTAACACCGCTTCAATTCGAATAAGGAGAGTGGTAAATTCTTCAAAGGTAAAGTTGTGATTTCTTGCGACCTTTGTGAAATGGGTTTTGAAGCTTTTTACAGCAGCTTCCCACAGACCGCCCATATGAGGAGCATACGGGGGGATAAACTGCCATGCAAATCCGTGGGTTGCGTATTTTTCGGCGAGGTCAGTAGCCGCTTCTTTAAGAAACTGGGAGAATTCTCTTTGCAGCGTTCGCTGCGCTCCTACGAAAGTTTTTCCGTTGTCGGACATGATTTTGTGGGGGAGTCCACGGCGGCCGACAAATCGAGTAAAAGCTGCCTTGAACGCTTCCGTGGTCAGATTTGAGCATAACTCTAGGTGTACTGCTTTGGTTGAGAAGCACACAAATACACACACATACGCCTTTGCGTGGGGAGCTCGTCGGAGGGTAGATGTTTTCACAAGAAATGGTCCAGCAAAGTCAACACCTGTGGTATGAAAGGGGACTGTATAGGTGGATCGTTCAGGGGGGAGCGCGGCCATTATCTGTGAACGCATCTTTTGTTTATGGATTGTGCAGACCTTGCACTGAAAAATACATTTTTTTATCTTTTGCTTCAACCTGGGGATATAATATTCTTGCTGCACCATTCGAATCATAAGTTGTTTGTCAGCGTGGAGAAGAGTTGTATGGAGGAAATCGAGCAGTAGAGCACAGAGCTGTGAGTTTTCTGGAATTATGATCGGGTGACGTTCACTGTAACTGAGAGTAGCATAAGCTAAACGTCCATTCACGCGCAGAATTCCCGCTCTATCCACCATCGGATTAAGAGTCAGTAAAGGGCTTTTTTTGCTAATAGATTTCCCTGCATTTAATGAGCTGAGTTCGTTGATGTAGTACTGGCTTTGAGTCTGAACGATAATACGCAATTTAGCTTGGTTTATTTCCTCGTGCGTTAAGGGGAGAGAAGTGGGTATCGGTTGCTTTCTAGCTGCGTTTATGAACCGATACATAAACGCTATGACTCGCAACGCTCGGGCAAAGGAGGAAAACCGCTCAAGTATATCCACTGATTCAATCGTGTGCAGGGATTCAATGCGTCGTTGTTCGGGGGGTGACGAATGTAGAGATGCGTTTTTTGGCCACAAAGTGGGGAGTTTTTGCAGCCATTCTGGGCCATTCCACCATAACGCGCATGTCGCCAGATCCTGGGGATGGCATCCGCGGGTGCCTAGATCGGCAGGATTATCTGCACCAGGCACATGCCGCCAAGTGGCATTGCTCACATTTTGTAGTATGAGCGAAATTCTATTGGCAACATAAGTTTTCCAAGTGTGTGGCGGTTTTTTCTAACCACGCTAACACAATGGAAGAATCTGACCAGAGGTACAAGTCATGAGCAGGTAAATCTAGTTGGGAGTGAAGTTGATTAACCAGCTTGGAGAGTAGGACGGCTCCACAGAGCTCAAGTCTGGGGAGGCTGACTGTTTGCAGGGGGGCTACCTTACTTTTAGCTGCGAGTATGTGTGACGACCAGGAGTTTTCGTCAATTTGTACTCTGAGGTAGACACAGGCGCAATAAGCTTTTTCAGAGGCGTCTGAAAACCCATGAACTTGTACCCGGTGAGTCGGGGAGAATTGCACCCAGCGGGGAATAACAATTTCATTAATCGCGGGGAGGTTTTCGCGCAGAGTGTTCCATTTTTGGAAAGCGCCGGGTTTTACGTGCCCGTCCCATTCGGTTCCTTCCAACCATAATTGCTGAAGGAGCATTTTTGCGGAAATCATTATTGGCGTTAGCTATCCTGCCGGGTCAAACAGTTTCGCTACCGCCGATAATATTTGCCGTTTTGTCCTTGAGTTGGCAGCGGGCACAGGGTCGTACGTGTAGGAGAAGGAGTCCGTTAGTGCGTTCCATTTTATGCCTAGCATTTTTGTAGAGCTAGTGTCCTGAAACTGGAGAAAATCAACATCAAGGACCTCGGAATCTGGGACTGATTCCAGGATTTTTGGGTGATTTGAGGTGATTTTTCGTAGTGGAAAACCTGCTGATTTTAGGGCGTCTTTAACTTGAGATAATGAGCTTATAGTGGACTGTATATTATGCCCGCCTGAGAGAATATCGTCCACGTATGTTTCGCGTAGGAGGATATTGCTGGCGAGCGGGAATTCGTCTTGACAATCCTGCGCTAACTGCTGAAGAGTACGGATTGCAAGATAGGGAGCGCAATTGACGCCAAAGGTGACTGTTTTCAGCCTAAAATCTTCTATGGGCTTATTTGGGGACCTACGAAAGACGATTCTTTGGAAGTCTTGATCTTCCTTGTGGACGAGAATTTGGCGATACATCTTTTACTTTTGTTGTTTTGCTGTCGGGTTTTATGACAGCATGGTGCGGTAAATAAAAGGAGAAGTATTTACCGTCTTTGATGACTTCTTGGGATGAGGTGGGCTCCATATGGTCCATGGTGATGTATTCTTCCAGAACTTCTGAGTATCTTTTGCAGAGGCCAGGTTTTTTCTCCAGAGTCCTTTCGATGCTGATATACTGCTGCTGCGCTGCTAGTCGAGAGTGGCCTAGAGCCATGGTGTCTGGGAATTCGGGTTTAATGGGTAGTTTCACCATGTATCGTCCGTTTGGCTGCCGGATTGTTGTGCGTCGATACAGCTCCTCACAGCAGTCCTCTTCACTTGAACGGTGTTGAGTGACAGCTATTTCCTCCTGCTCCCAAAACTTCTTCAGCAGTGAGTTTAACGATTCATCCTGGGGTTCGGTTACCTGGGTGGTAAAGGTGGAGATCCTCTCCTGGATGGGGCCGCTCAGAATCCATCCAAATATCGTGTTCTGCGCTATGAGACTTCCGCTTATGTTTTGTTGCAGCCCTTGTAGGATAATTCGGGGGATTAGGTCACTGCCGATTACCATATCAATTTTATTTGGGGTGAAACAGTTGGGATCGGCGAGCCTTAATTGCTTTATCTCTTCTAAGTTAATATGAGAGATATTCGAAGTGGGGAGAAAATGGGTCAATTGGGGCAACATAATGGCTTGGGTCTTTATTTTATGGGCTCGATCTGCTGAGCAGAGTGTGACTTCGCACATTTTCCTTGAGTTTTGCACCACCATTCCACCCATTCCAGAAATCTCGAATAGAGCATCTATCATGGGCAAGCGCAAGAGTTTTTGTATCCGGGACGATACAAACGTTTTTTGTGAGCCTTGATCCACCAGAGCGCGAATATTATGATATTCGCCATCACAATATATAGGTACTATCGCCGTTGGAAGGAGAGTTGTGACGTTAGTAGCCGAAAAATGAGACGACACTTTATTTACGTCGGTTTTCTCTGGGGGTTGGTGCGTCACATATTTTGAGCAAGTGGGCGCTTCAGTATCCGTATTAGTCTGAGTCGATAGTTGACTCGTTGTTCGTTGGGGCTTTGAATTGGGTTGGGGGGTCTGGGTCTTTTGCGGGAAGTGTAAAAGAGAGTGATGTTTTCGTTGACAGTATACACAAGTGAAATTACTTGTACACTCACTCTTTAAATGGGAGTAATAAAGACAATTTTCACAATACTTGTTCTCTCTTACGAATCTTAAACGGTCAGATACGGATAGTGCTTTAAATTTCACACATGTCTTCATGGGGTGCCTTGAGTGGCAGAGTTTGCATGAAATCGGCTGATTTAGATCGACATGGAAATTCTGAGTTCTATTTTTATTTATAAATGTGGAATTGTGATTCCCCGTTCTTGGGGTGAAATTCGGGTGGGGAAGCTTTGGTTTTCCTGGCCGATATGTGTTAAGTCTTTCTACTACTTCATACCGGCTTGTGAGGAATTTGCTCATATCTGCCCAAAGTGGTAACTCTTTCCGTGAGCTGAGTGATTGCTCCCATAGAGATAGAGTTTCACTGGGCAGTTTTGAAGAGCATAAATATACAAGGATGGGGTCCCAATTGCTGGTCGGGATTCCTTGTGCTGAGAGGGTTGAGAGGCAATTGTTGATGGTGGATTGAATTTTCTGGATTTGCTCACCATTTTCTGAATATATGGGTGGGATGTTAAATAGAGTTTTTAATTGGTTGTCCACCAATATCCTACGGTTTTCATACCGTGACTTTAAGGCATCCCAGGCTAGTTCAAAATTGTCATCAGTGAGGGGGAACTGTTTCACTATTTGTCCGGCCTGGCTTCTTGTTTTTTGCCTTAAATGGTACAGTTTCTGGGCTGGGGTTAGTTTGGGGTGATTTTTGTAGACTGCCGTGAACATATCTCTGAACGCCGGCCAGTCTTCGTACCCACCGTGGAACATTTCTGTATCACACGGTGGTACCTTGAGGAATACTTCTTGGGAGTTTGAAGTTGGGGTGGAATTTGTGGTTCGAATGGTGGTTTCTTGGGACTGGGAGTTTGCCCCGAGAAGCTGTAAGCCGTCTAAGATTTGCGTCTTACAGTTCTCATAGCTTTCTGAGCATTTATTATATTTTTGCTCAATCGATCCGCTAGATTCAGCGAAGACCTCAGAGCGGGATACTGCTCTATATGAGCTTATTAGAGCATCCCATAACTTGTCAAGTTGCTGTAACTTCACATTTAGGAGCGTTTGGGTGTGTTCGCTTATCAGGGTGCTGGACCATTTCGAATAAAATGATTCAAGCCTGTTGCTTTCAAAAATGAAGTCTTGAAGGCTTGAGTCAGAATCGGAGGGGGATTTCTTGTCCATTGTGTGGGGCATAAAACTTTGAGCTTAGGTCAATTAACAAAAAATTCTTCTGATATTACTATGAAAGCGAAATTCAAATAATGCCGAGCAGCTAAAAATGAGTCTTGAGCTGAATTTATTTGTATTTAAAGGTAATTTATTTGTCCTACCTTTCTGGGTATAGCGTAGTTTGTCCCAATGTAGCGCAATTATTTTTTGTTCCACTGTACTGTCTTAGCGCGTCCAAGTACAGTAACAGTGCTTTATCATGTACGACGCGAGAGCAAAACTAGGGGCGGAGCTTATATGTATATGTGTATACACGTAGATGTTTGTATGTACTTCGGCAACTTTTTATATGTACGTATCTACGAGTGAGTAACCACAGAATTGAGTTTGAACTGCGACTAACGGCTGAGAAAAAAGGGGAATTGAGAAGAATAAACGCGTAAAAATCTGTATGTATGTAATAAAAACTGGCGCCAACTAGAGTAATATTAGTGTGGATCGCTTGTTGTTAGAAAACTCAAATAAAGGAAATTTTGGGTAACAGATGAAATCTCTATACGTATTTATGTATATTGAGACGAGAACTTTTATATTGTATTATATTCTCTTGTGCACCTATATAAATCTTTAATAAATGAGGGGTCTGTCTGAGATTTAATGTATATATGAGTGCATATACGTACATATGAACTTTTTATTATTTTTCCTACCAGCCGCACCCTAGTGTCTACTTTGGGGTTTTTTCTCTTTTTTAGGTATTACCTTAGCGCGTCTAAGTGCAATAGTGTATGGATGTGTGAGTATGTGTGCGCACTCGCTTGAGTTGCAATTTGAACGCACTCAGCAGGTGGTCGGAGTTCGAGAGAAACGAATATGCGGAAGTGCGAATATGTATACGTGTCTACATAAAGTTCTGAACATATTGAAAACGACGAGCTACCGACCACAGCTTCCAATTTGTCATCTTTATTATCTAAGCGCTTTGTCGATGGCGACATGATTTCTTTGAACGCGGCAGCGACATCATGAATTTGTATGAGTTTGACATAAAAGAAGAGGAAGAACCTTATCTGTCGCCAGAAAAATAGAAATAGATCTAATCTGGCCACAACCACAGCCGTCGCGTAGCCCGGTCGTCGCCAAAATAATTATCTACATAAGAGTACGTGTTAAAATAATTTGACAGCTGTGGTTTGTAGCTCGTCGTTTTCATTGTGTTCGGGCTATAAGACTATGTATATCGTATGTAATTTTGGCCTGAGTATACGTATGTATGTGCGTGTATCAGCAAGCACTGGCGCGGAATTTTTCGCTGGTCAATTTGGTCTTTCGGCACAAGGGGAAGAAGGAGACAAGACGATACGCGCGATTCTTTTGATACCGCTGATTAAAGGGGAGATCTGGTATTGCGTATATACGTACGCTATGATATTGTATCTATATATGTGCGTACGTATTATTATGGGATTGCCTTAGAGAAAATCATACACGGTAACAACGGGTTTTTGGACTATTTGTGCTTCCAATAACTTTTCAGCGTACGGGAAAATGGGATGTGAGTAACTATATGTAGATGTCTGTACGTGAGTTTGTACAATAGGTACAGTATACGTTAATATATATATGTATGTGTATGTATTATGTATATGACTTAGCGGTTATTTTTTGATTGCTTTTGAGTTGGAGGAGTCCATATACATATATATTTATAAATATGTCAATATGCGAGTGTGTATATTTGTATATACAGATTACCGTACCTAGACCGGCGACACTTGTTACGGTGCTCGAAGGGGTTGGTATTTGCCTTTATTCGTATGGGGAATGCCGCCAAGTTATGCACATACATACATATGTACATATACATATATATATATATATATATATATATATATATCGTTGATGATGAGATATAGGGCACTTACTTGGATAGTGGTACCTACTTTCCTTCTTTTTTTTTTGGGGGGGGACTGTACCTTCAGCCGACTCCGGTTTACCTCGTTACACAGTGTGTGCTGCAATTGTTGTTGCTCCCTGTTCCGTTGTTGCCGGGTTAAGCTTTTGACCTCCCGTTACCTTTTCGTGTCCCTTTGTCACCTTGTCTGCCGTATTTTTTACCGGTTTTAGTTGTTACTGTTGTTTTGTATTTTTTCTTTTAAATTGCGGGTGTACAAATCCCTTAGTTTTTTTTTTTTTTTTTTTATTAAAACAAATTTTATTTTTTTTGTTTTTTTTTTTTTTTTTTTTTTTCTAAATTCAATTTTTTTAATTTTTTTTTTTTTTTTTTTTACGTTTTTGCGCACACTAATGTCAGCTTTGGCTGTGGCTGACAAAATAACTGTTTTTATTCCGCGATTTTACACACACACTACAGTGCCTGTATTCTTGTTTTTACTAAATTGCTTATTTTCGCTTTTTTCCAGTCGTTTGAATTCAAAAGCGTATATGTACATACATATTTATGTTTGCAAATTTGATTTTATTTAATTTTTCAAATTAATGCCGCACACTTAGTTAAGTTTATCTTG